TATTTGTAGGTGATCTTTAAGGTTTCAGTCCATTAAAACTACCTAATCTCACTACATGAGGTCCCCAGCCTGCTTCTCCCGCCTGGGAGGCATGGCTCAGGAAGCGTTTGTTGTTTGATTGTTCGGTTAGACCAATTGGTTAGAGGCTGGGTAGAAGTGGTCTTTCAGAGTGGATGGTGGTGGTGTTTTGACCCCCATGTGTAAGAACACGAGTAGGTAAGCTCAGTCGGTTAGAGCTTGGTTAACAGAGGACTTTTAGACCAGATGGCAGAATTTTGTCCTCCATGTGTAAAAATGTGAGTAGGTGATCTTCAAGCCTTTTAAGCATTAAATCTACATAAGCTCCCTTGTGTCTTTGGTTTGAAGTGGTTTTTTTAGCCTTGATCATGAGATTTTGGCCTCCAAATTCCAAATAAATTCAAATTCAAGAAAAATGGGTACAACAGCACAACCTTTGATCAAGTGCCCATACTACGCTTGAAGGGGAGGGTCATGGCACGAGCCCGAAAAACCCTTCACCGGCCTTGTTAGCGCAGTAGGTAGCGCGTCAGTCTCATAATCTGAAGGTCGTGAGTTCGATCCTCACACGGGGCACAGACGTTTTTAAAAACAAGAGTCCTTGGTGCCATTGTACCCCTTTCAGTGAAAATAAAATAAAAGTCAAGAAAAATGGGTTCAACTGCCCTGTCTCTTCAGTGCAAGTAATCATAGACCTCTTGGTCAATTGAGCATACTGCACATATAAATCCAAGGTGCTTGGTAGTCTCATATTCTGATGGTCTTGATGGCGATCATCACATTGATTATGGGTACACTTTTAAACGAAAGCTGTTGCTCCAATGTTTCCAGGTTTGGTCTAAATAAAATTTAAAATCATAAATAAATTCAAAGTCAAGAAACATGGGTACAACAGCACAACCTTTAATCAAGTCCCCATACTACACTTGAAGGGGAGGGTTATGGTACAAGCACAACAAATGTTTGAAGTGTTTTTATTTTAGCCTTGATCATAAGATCTTGGCCTCCATGTGTAAGAATATGAGTAGGTGATATTCAAGGCTTCCATCCATTAAAGATTCCCAAGCATAAGTAATCTGTTACCATGGCCAACTTGTGGAGGAGCACCTCAGGAGAAGCCTCTTCTTTGAGATTCGTCTGTATAATCTGTGGTTGGTCCAATGGTACCACAAAAGAAACTTTAAATTTTTAATAAATTCAGAGTCAAGAAACATGGGTACAAGAGCACAACCTCGATCAGTTTCACATACTACAATTGAAGGTGAGGGTCATGGTACTAGCCCGAAATGCCTTTGGCCGAAACGCCCGGCCTCGTTAGTGCAGTAGGTAGCGCGGCAGTCTCATAATCTGAAGGTCGTGAGTTCGACCCTCATACGGGGCACAGCTGCTTTTAAAAACAAGATTCCTTGGTGCCATTGTACACCACTCAGTGAAAAGTCAATAAAAGTGTCTTGATCTTGTCATGGATACATATTAAAATGAGAGCTGTTGGTCCAAAGGTACCACAATTGCTTTCATCATCTGAAGGAATAAAAATGAGAGTCATTGGTGCAATCGTACCTTGCTGGGCGTATATTGCCGGAAAGGACAGCGACCTTTTGACAAAAGATAATCAACATTGAAAATAATTTACATTACAGATATGAAAATAAAAATTTACATTGAAAAACTTACGTCTGAATGGAACCAACTGCTCATCTACTGTCACTTCAGGCCCAGGGTTGTAGAGGTACGGCAGGCGCTCCACCCACTTCTCTCAGACCTCTCTTATGACAGCCAGTTTGTCTGTCACTCGTCTTGCAGGTCTTGACTCTCGGTTATCAAACCGTAACATTCTCGAAAAAGTGTGAAAGACCTTCAGTGACATTGTGGCATGGAAAATCACTCTTCCACTCTCTGCATCCCAGAGACTAGATGTAGCCTCACCTTGGGACCTATACACACCTGCTAGGATTAGCAGCACTATGTAGGCACGCAGGTCAGTCTCATCCACGATTTTCCACTTGTCTCCATATTTCTGGAAAACCATGTAGATTGGTCATTTCTAGGATGATTTTTTCGATGGCTGGTGTAATGAACATGAAAAATGTTGAGACGATGTCCTGGGCATGGGAAACAGCATATCTTGTTGGCCCTGGGGTCATCTTCATGACATTTTCTGCTGCCATCCTGCCCTGGTTGCCATTTGGTAAAGAAGACCATGATATTTTGCTGTTCTTTGACAAAAAAGTTTGTTTGTCAGCTTGGGGGATTCCTTCTTTATCTGAAGATGAGGAATCATTCTCTGGGTTGTACTCTTCCCCATCTTCTTCTTCAGATACCTCCGCCTCTTCCAAATCAGTGTTATCTTCTTCCTCCAGGACACCTGAAGTAATCAGAAATTGCAACTTGCTGGGCACTGAAACAAGCACTCATGACTTTGGCAAAAAGACAACTAGGGTACTGCAATCTACAGCACCTATATATAAGCATTCCCTATTAGTAAATAATGCTTTCAAGACATGTTTATTTTGTCTGAAGTTCTTTTTATTTTGTCTGAGCTTGAGTCATGCATGGGGTCATGGAGGGAAGACGAGAGAGAGATCAATCAGTAGCACACAATCTTAGTTTCTTATTATGTGTGTGTGTGTGTTGGAGTGTGCATGTTTGTGCCAGTGTGTGTCTGTGATGTGTCTGTAGTTTTTGTGGTGTATAAATGGTTTTATAGCTGGCGGGTCAAAAATGACCCCTGAGACAATCTTTGTACCCTAGCTGTGTAAAGCCTTCATGAAAATATGAAAATAGAAAATGGTTCATTTTTTCTAATGTTGGGGTCATTTTAGGAAAAGTCATCAAATTTCAAGTTGAAAAAACATCATTTAGGTTTTTTTTCTGTTGTTAAAATGGTCATGGGTCATTTTTGACCCTTAAGACAACACAAGGGTTCAAATGAGAGCTGTTGGTCCAAAGTTACCTCAAGTGCTCCCATAATCTGAAATTTTAAAAATGAGAGATGTTGATGCACTTGTACCACAATTAGTGAAAATATATTAGAAGTCAAGAAAAATGGGTACAACTGCCCTCTCCCTTCAGTGCAAGCAATCATAGACCTCTTGATCAATTGAGCATACCACACATATAAATCCAAAGTGTTGGCGGTCTCATATTCTGATGATCTTGAGGAAGATCCTCACATGGAGTATGGGTACATAGCTGTTGGTCCAATGGTACCACAATTGTCTAAATAAAATTTAAAATTCTACATAAATTCAAAGTCAAGAAACATGGGTACAAGAGCACAGCCTCATGATCAATTTCTCATATGACACTTGAAGGCGAGGGTCATGGCACAAGCCGAAGAAGCCCTTTGCTAGCCTCGTTAGCGCAGTAGGTAGCATGTCAGTCTCATAATCTGAAGGTCGTGAGTTCGATCCTCACACGGGGCACGGATGCTTTTAAAAACGAGAGTCCTTGGTGCCATTGTACCCCATTCAGTGAGAATAAAATAAAAGTCAAGAAAAATGGGTTCAACTGCCCTGTCTCTTCAGTGCAAGTAATCATCAATTGAGCATACCGCACATGTAAATCCGAGGTGCTTGGTAGTCTCGTATTCTGATGGTCTTGATGGCGATCATCACATTGATTATGGGTACACTTTTAAACGAAAGCTGTTGCTCCAATGGTTCCACGTTTGGTCTAAATAAAATTTAAAATCATAAATAAATTCAAAGTCAAGAAACATGGCTACAACAGCACAATCTTTTATCAAGTGCCCATACTACACTTGAAGGGGAGGGTCATGGTACAAGCACAACAAATGTTTGAAGTGTTTTTATTTTAGCCTTGATCATAAGATGGTGCTAGTTACGCCAAGGTCGTGGGTTCGGTCCCCGTACTGGCCATTTTCAAGGTTGGTGCTGTGTGCAATTGTCAGGTCAAGGGAAGCAACTTGTTAAAAAGAAGCCTTGCCCAAGATAAATCAATTCTCTGGTTGAATCCCAACAGGACAAGAACATCCTTCCATCTGAAAGTGGCATCTGAATAACTAAACAGTACGCACATAGATTGTTGCTGCATTGGAGAATGCGGGCGTCAATCCCGCTACCTCTTGCATGCTAATCAAACACTCTACCAATTGAGCTAATTCCCCTTGGGTATTGCTTTTTACACAGGATAGTAGTATTTTGACCACATCTGTGGAAGAATATGAGTAAGTGAACTTCAAGGGTTCTGTCAGTTAAAAGTACCTAATTTCCCTACATGGGGTCCCTGGCTTGCTTCTCCCTCTTTGGAGGCATGGAGCAACAGTTGCTTTGAAGTTGTTTGCAATTTGTCTTTTCAACCAGGTGGTGGTATTTTGAACCCCAAGTGTTAGAATATTTGTAGGTGATCTTTAAGGTTTCGGTCCAATTAAACTACCTAATCTCACTACATGGAGTCGCTGGCCTGCTTGTCCCTCTTCGTGTGCTTGGCTCAGGAAGCATTTGTTGTTTGATTGTTCAGTTAGAGCAGGTGCTTAGAGGTTAGTTACAAGCGGTCTTTTTACCCAGATGGTGGTATTTTGAGCCCCAAGTGTGAGAATATGAGTAGGTGGTCTGCATGGCCACGGTCTTTTAAAACTACCTAATCTCACTACATGGGGTCGCTGGCCTGCTTCTCCCTCTTCGGAGGCATGGCTCAGGAAGCATTTGTTGTTTGATTGTTCGGTTAGACCAATCGGTTAGAGCTTGGTTAGCAGAGGACTTTTAGACCAGATGGCAGAATTTTGTCCTGCATGTGTAAAAATGTGAGTAGGTGATCTTCAAGGCTTTTAAGCATTAAATCAACATAAGCTCCCTTGCGTCTTTGGTTTGAAGTGTTTTTTTTATCCTTGATCATGCGATTTTGGCCTCCAAATTCCAAATAAATTCAAATTCAAGAAAAATGGGTACAACAGCACAACCTTTGATCAAGTGCCCATACTACACTTGAAGGGGAGGGTCATGGCACAAGCCTAAGAAACCCTGTAACAGCCTCTTGAGTGTTGTATAGTGTCTGATAATCTGATGGTCTTGAGGGCGATCCTCACGCGGGGCAAGGGAAGTTTTAATCTAGATCCACGTACACATTTAGATCCATGGTAGAAGCCCTTTTTCAACCTTGTTAGCACAGTAAGTATTGCGCCAGTCTTATAATCTGTATAATATGTGGTTGGTCCAATGGTACCACAATAGGTCTAAAAAGAAACTTTAAATTTTTAATAAATTAGAGCACAACCTCGATCAGTTTCACATACTACAATTGAAGGCGAGGGTCATGGTACTAGCCCAATACACCATTGGCCAGCCTCATTAGCGCAGTAGGCAGTGCGTCAGTCTCATAGTCTGAAGGTCGTGAGGTCGACCCTCACACGGGGCATGAATGCTTTTAAAAACAAGAGTCCTTGGTGCCATTGTACACCACTCAGTGAAAAGTCAATAAAAGTGTCTTGATGATCTTGTCATCTTAAAATGAGAGCTGTTGGTCCAAAGGTACCACAACTGCTTTCATAATCTGAAGGAATAAAAATGAGAGTCATTGGTGCAATCGTACCCCCAATTAGTGAGAACATAATAAAAGTCAAGAAAAATGCGTAAAACTGCCCTGTCTCTTCAGTGCTTGGAGCTCTTAAAAATCTTAGCTCTCCTGAGCAACTGAACATACTGAATGTGTAGATTCATAGTATCTGCCAGACTCATATTCTGAGTGTCTTGAGGATGGCCTGGGCATGGATGCATCTTAAAATGAGAGCTGTTGGTCCAAAGTTACCACAATTGCTCTCATAATCTGAAATTTTAAAAAAGAGAGATGTTTGTGCACTTGTACCCCAATTAGTGAAAATATATTAGAAGTCAAGAAAAATGAGTACAACTGCCCTCTCCCTTCAGTGCAAGTAATCATAGACCTCTTGATCAATTGAGCATACCACACATATAAATCCAAAGTGTTGGCGGTCTCATATTCTGATGGTCTTGAGGAAGATCCTCACATGGAGTATGGGTACATAGCTGTTGGTCCAATGGTACCACAATTGTCTAAATAAAATTTACCATTTACCAAATGAGAAACCATTTACCAGCCTCGTTAGCGCAGTAGGTAGCGCGTCAGTCTCATAATCTGAAGGTCGTGAGTTCGATCCTCACACGGGGCACGGATGCTTTTAAAAACGAGAGTCCTTGGTGCCATTGTACCCCATTCAGTGAAAATAAAATAAAAGTCTGGGTTCAGTTGCAATGTCTCTTCAGTGCAAGTAATCATCAACCTCTTGATCAAT